CGCCACAGTCCGCGATGGCCACGGGCACCAATGCTCGACCAATCGGACGCGCACGGCCGCCGATGCCCGAGGCTGCGATCCACTTCGGGGGCGCCCAGTCAACCTTCACCTTGTACCCGAGCGGGAGGCCATTGGCGAGGCCCGCGCCGGCGGCAGCCTGAGGGCAGCCCCCCCCTCCGAAAAAGATGTCGGCGCCGCCCAAGAGTCCGGGGGCGCGGCGGCCGCTGCCCGCGAAGGCAGAGCGGCTGTCGAGGCGCGGTGGGCACCCACCGCCAGTGCCGCCCACCCCCAACGTGGCCGGCGGCCCCCTGCCCGACTTGGGCGGGCGGCCGGCGGGCCGCGCCTGCGAGGTCATCGTTTTGCACATGCGATGCAAGTTGAATCATGGAAGAGACCCCCCGGAGGAGCGGCACTTAATTATGGAAGAAGGGCCGGCGCGACTCGGCACTGGAAAATAGCCCGGCGAGCATGGATACGCCAAGAGTTGCAATAAGAGGAAAACAAGATGCACCAACGACGTAGAAACCCACGAGGAGAGCACATACAGGACGAATTCATCATGCTGCGTGAGACTGCACATCAGAAGGCGCCCTGCTGCCGGCGCCGCTGCGACCTGCGCGGGGGCCCCCTCGGCACGACCCACCCGCGCAAAACACGACGGCACCCGGGACCTCCGTCAGATCATCAAGGAGGGCGGCCGCGCCGAAGGGCAAGGGCGCGTCGGGATAGGCGGCCTGGAGACGAGAGTCGACATCACGAGCCAAAAACTGACGCGCCTTTCGGGCCTCAGGGTGCGGACCGCGCGAAGCATCGACCCGCAGCGGTAGGGCCCCCTCAGTTTCCCGGACACGCCCCCAAGGGGCGCGCCGCCGGCACCGGGGGTGCGAAATCGGGGGGGCGCGAAAAAAAAACATCTTTGGCTCGATGGTCAAAGAAATTAACCATATGAGCGCGCGGTCCCCGAGCCCATCCCGCGCGGCCCCAGAGAACATGGAAACCATCAAGCTCGCACCAACAGCGGCTCACGCCACGCCGCCGCGCGCCTCGAAACGAACAACGCAGATAGCCGTCTAAACGAGAGAAACGCTCGATGCCTGCCTGCCACCGCAGGAGCCCCCTTCCGCCATCCGTCGCGGCCTGCGGGAGCCCCCGTCCACCTTCACAGGTCGGCGCCGGCAACATGCCCGCTCCAATCTCCCCCCCGCATCAAGACGTCAGCAGCCTCTGTCATAATACAAGAAAGCAGTGGCCTCCTCAATGAGAGCGAGCATCCTGGCCCCGCGCGCTACGGGGGGGGGGCGCAAGAAGAAGCCACAGCAAACTCGCGGTCCTGATATGTGACAAGGAAACAAAAACGACGTTTCGAGCCCTCCTGGATGCGACACCCCTGGCCCAACCACATTTTCTTCCAAGGCAAGGAGAGGGGGAAACCAACACTGTGCCACTGAACAAAAAAACTCCTCGAGACACACAATTTGCACGCGAGGTCCCTGCACGCCCCGATCACACGCCTCACCGCGCAGCTCGGTCAAACAAGAAATCCCCCACCCAAAACGCCGGGCGTCAAGAAGGTGCTGGCGCAACTTTGGCCCATGGCTCACGAGTCGCCAATTCAGCCCATGACAATTAATTGCGCTCACGCATATTCCACCAACCGTCTGTTTCCGGGAAGAACGATATGGCTATCGGATTCGACCTCGCAGGCGCCCGGAGCACCCCGGGACCATCGTCTCTGAAACGACCGGACCTGGATCTCGACCCGCGCTGGAGGGGCGGTCGGGCGATGTCCTCGCGCCCGGAAGGGCGCGCCCCGATCGCGCCACCGAGCCAAGACACGACGCGGGCGAAGGCGGCTGCGCCACCCGGGGGTCGGCCCCCACACGCACACGAGGCAGGAGCAAGGGGGGATAGAGACGGGAAGATAGACGAGGGGAGCGGGGGAAGCCGCAACATGCTCTCCCAAGGGGCCCTGCCACGCCCACCCCTCCTCACCCACCCCCGCGCCCTCACCCCTAACCTCCCAAGAATAGCAAACCAGTGGGGGGATTTGCCACTGAAAGTGCGCCATGCCGCCGCGGCGCTCTCCGCGCTCCTCGCGGCGCCCTCGACGCGGCCCCCTCCGCGCCTGCGCCCTGTGCCCGACGCCCCACATGGCCTGCGCGAGACGCTGCAGGTCGGGCGCCCCGCCCAAGGCCTGGGCCGCCGCGGCGCCCACCAGAGCGCGAGCTCCGTCGCCCTTCAGGGTCGGGAAGATGGGCAGCTCGATATTTTGCGGCTGCACTCGATGAGCCTGTCCCATGTCTCGACCAGGGCCGCGCGGCTCTCGAGGCCCATGCCAACGAAGTCGGAGGGCCCACCCTCGTTCTCGAAGAACGAAAAACCCGCTCCTGCACCGGCCGCTCAGCTGGGTCCCGCCACCCTGCCACTGCGGCCAGTCTCAGCCGCCAGTCGATCATCTTTGGAGAGGCATGGCGCGCTGCGCGCGCCCGCCCAGTGCCCT